ACTTTCTTTCTTTCTAAGTTCTCGCAGTCCAGCTTTTCATGCGAGTGAGACAGTTTGGCTTTGTGTTGGCTTCCTGTACTGAGTTTCTTGTCCTCGAGATTGATGCATGTTGAAGCAGATGTCAGAACCGCCCTTCCCTCCCTGGCTGTACACCATAGCTTACCGTATGTTTTTATCACATTTGGCTCATCCATACATCTTCTCATGGGCATTTGGGCTTTCTCCACCGTTTGGCTCTGTGAACAATGTTACCGTGGGCGTGGGGGTGATGATTTGAATGAGGATGACACCCGTAGGCTGATATATTTGAATGTTCGGTTCTCAGTTGGTGGACTATTTAGGAAGGATTGGGAGGTGTGGCCTTGTTGGAGGAGGTGTGTCAGTGGCGGTTGGGCGTTTCGGTTTCAAACACCCATTTCAGGCCCAGTTTCTCAACTTCTCTGTCTCTTGCCTATGCATCGGGATATAAGCTCTCAGCTGGAACTACGGCATCATGCTCGCCTGCCGGCTGATATCCTACCCACCATGATGGTCATGGGCTAGCCCTTTGAAACTGTAAGCAAGCTCCCAATTAAATGCTTTCTTTCATAAGCTGACTTGGCCATGGTGTTTCTTCATAGCAGAAGAAACTGGATCACATGGCAATTATCTTTACTCTTTGGAGGAACCTGCCATGCTGTTTTCAAAAATACACTTTTTCCTTATAGCAAGTCATCATTGTGAAGACCTTCTAGAATGCTTTGGTGTTTTGTTGTTGTTGTTGTTTGTTTTCAGAAGTCCTACCTCCCTTTTCTTTTGGTCTTGCGAATCATCAGCTTCTAGGCATTTAATTAACTTGTATAATCTCAATACCAAGTCTAGGTGTCATCAGTCAGTTGGGAAACGTGCAATTCAATTCGCCCGGCAAGGCCAGAAGTGGTTAGAAAGTCATGTTCCAGAAGAGCCCCAGCATATTGCAGGTTCTGGCCTGCTGAGGATAGAATCTAGAATGGATGGGCACCATTGGTTAACTGTGTCAAGACAGATAGCTGCTCATCAACCAAATTACCTCTGTCATGAAAAATTGTAGAAAGAAACACAGCAATCCAGAATGAACCAGCCACTGGTCACATTCCATGCCCTGGCTTAGGGACAAGAGAAAGGCTTAGGTAGCAAAAGCTAACTGGGCTAGTCCTTCTTTGTGTGACTTGTGTGTGGAGGCCAGAGCTCAATGTTGGATGTGCTCTTTGATCACATTCCACTTTTTAAGGGGTCTCTCTCCATTCAGCTAGGCCGACTGGCTGGTGAACTTCTGAAATCCTTCTGTCTCTACTCTTGTACTGTAGTTACAGATGCATGCCTCCATGCCGGACTTTTCAGGTAAGCGCTGGGGAGCTGAACTCAGAGTCCCATGTTTGCATGACAGGCACTTTACTGCTGGAACTACTTCCCTAGCACGTTTGTGACTTCTGGAATGTAAGAAAAGACCAGTGGGCTGAGGCATCATACACCTTCTCTTAGACTTAATATGCTGACGTATGGGAATAAACAGGGAATTGGAGGAATGGCACCTATAGCTTTTGAAGATAGCTATGAAGTGAAGATTTCATTGTGAGGTGTGATTAGAAGTTCTTCTGGTGGGGGTAATCATGAATGCTGTGGAGGGACACTTTTGAAAAACTCCATCGGTTCTTGTTAGCCACTCAGTGATGAGAGGTTTGGGAGTCTGCTCCTCTAAATGAGGTCTAAAGGAACTCCGTTTATTTAGCTTAGAGAGAGAAAACAGGCTTGGTGGGGGGGGGGACTTAATGAGAGTCTTCGGGAGCCTGAGGACTCTCCTCTGAGTGATGAGAAACAGCTGTTTCCTGTTTCTTCTAAGGACAGGGGAAGAGTGGAGTCAATACTGCAAGTGAGTTTAAAAGTCCTTGTCCGGGGAGTTCAAGACACTGAAGCAGAAAGAAAATTATCCCTTCTCTGTCTCAGAATTACAGGGCCTCCTGTTTTTCATGGGGTTATCGACACGTGGCCTTTTCATGAGTTTTAAACCTGTACAAAAACAGTCCTGCAGGCCCTTCTCAGTCCATCGGCTGAGCCTCCCAGTGCTCTGTGACTGAGGAAGCCCCAACCCCTAACTCTCCAAAGGAGTCACAACAGAAAAGCTGGAGTCCCTTTGCTATCAGATCAGGATAATGTAGATTTACCGATACAGCAGGTAAAGAAATCCCATCAATGGGCTAGTGAGGTGGCTCAGCAGACAAAAATGACTGCCACCAAGCCTGCTGACCTGAGTTCAGTTCCTGAGACCCACACAATGGTGGTGAGAACTGACTCCTGTGAACTGTGCTCCGATGGCCACACCTCCCATGACACGAGGGCTTCCATACAGACTCACACATGTACAGAAATGTAAGGAGAATAAATGTTTTTCTATCAGTGTGCCAGTATGTGTTTTTCTTCCAATTGATTAATGAGGTCATGATATTCTTGACTTCAATGAGACTGAATAGTGTGTGTGTGTGTGTGTGTGTGTGTGTGTGTGTATGTGTGTGTAGATAGAATCATGTACATGTGTCATGTGTATCATAGATAGTTGATATACATTTAATTTGACATGCAAGATTTATAGTATAAATTGTTCTTAGTACCAGATAATCATATAAAATATAATTTATATGTAATTATTTCAACAATGAAAATGAGTTTTTGTTCTGGGTAGTATTCCTATGTATTAATTATATGAAGATGCATAAGCTATTAAAGCACAGAAAATATGCAAAATTACCATATAATCAGGAACCATCTAACAGAAGACATCCTAGGAGAAATTCCAGGGAGGAAGGATGAGTCTGGGCATGCTCTGGCCAGTAGGGAAGGGGATGAAATTCCATCTCCACTATTGTTTTTATATTCTTATCCCATATTGGGCAAATTGTGCCATTTATTCTCAGCTGAATAAGTTGTGTCTTCTTCGCCAAGTCAGCCTTTTCTCCCTAGAGAACTCAAGGATGCTTTGTTGTGTCAGCCTCAGCTAGGTATGCCTTCCGCCAGCATCAAGAGTTATTATAATCTTGTCCAAAGATATTTGCTGTGATTATTGAATTCTTCCTAACCTAGGACAAGGGGTTGTGACCCCATGGTCCCACTGGCTTGGGGGTGGGGTGGGCTTTGAATCCTCCCGGTTTTCCATTTGCTTAATCTACTTTACAGGAATCCTTTGGAGGATTAAATTAAACCAAATAGAGTGCATTAAGCCCTGAGTCCATTGTACCCAGCCCTGAAGTCACATTCGTTGGTTTCCTTTAACTGGTGAAAAGAATTTCTAACCTGTTACAGGGACATAATTACCCCTGCATTCTTCCATCTAGTGGGGTTTGTCCATGGGGCAGGCCTGGAGAGTAAGTTTGTCTGAAGGACACCTGAGCATGTAAATTCAGAGTCTCCTTTCTTGTCTTCCCTTCCCTTCCCCTTGTCCCCTCCCTCCCTCCCTCCCTCCCATCCTCCCTCACCTCCTCCTAGCCCACCCCCAGTCCACTCCTCCTCACAGTTGAGAGCTCCTATGAGGAGTCAGCATAGTCTGGTACAATAGGTTAGGGCAGGGCCTGGCCCCTCCTCCCTGCATTAAGACTGG